AAAAAATTTAGTTTGGAGATTTTTAACCTGGTACTGCTTGTTGCTATAAGCAATAAAGGTTCAAATAAGGTCTATTACTTATCATGCACGGTAGTAAAGGGAGCATCCATATAAAACAGTAAAGCCTAGAGGTAGTTTCCAATTCTTAAAACTAACCAAAAATATGTATGTCGATGATGCTAATGAAAAGTAATTTTGTAATTAGTATCGATTACTGGGTAATGGAACCCTAACCAGTCGCAAAATAGTCAGTGATCAGGCGTTTTTTATGGGATGCCTTTACTTTACACTAATATTGTTAAACCTTTACAAAAATCACCTAGAAACAATAACTGGGTCGGGGTGCTAATTTAGCGGTTTTGACCATGAACTAAGCTTATCTCGAACACACCTTTTTTTGCCTTTTCATATTTGAGGAAGATTTCCGATATTTTAATTAGGAAAGCCTTTTTATCATCCCAACACCAAAAGACCAAAGCTTAGTAAACGACTTACTTAGTAAACCAATATTTATTCACAATTAAACATGTTTGCTGGTTTTAGCAGAGTTAAACCTCTGAAGGCATTCTTATCCAGCATCTAAACAGCAAATTATCTATTGAAAATTGCATTAACAAAAGCAAACAAAGACAAAAACAAACTGTATTTACACAAAAGATATGTTGTACTGAGATAGCCTATCTATCCTGACAGATAGATCATTTTGATTCTGAGTTTGTTTAAATATTACAATGATTTGTTTTACACTTGAGCTTTTTAGAGACTTATTTCCCTACAAGCCAACTAGTATATATATATGAATTTGATCGGATGGCGTTTTTGACCTCTAGGGACCTCAAAACGAAAAAGTTAATCGGTCCTGGGTCCAGGTCTTACCATGAGTACTAAGGTAATAGCATATTCCCTATATGGGAAATTCGCTAAAACAATCATCCTTGTCCTGAGGTACAGTAACATACTGCAGGACAGACATCTGGAAACAGACTAGCATAAACATTGACTGTAAATGTTATGTGTTATGTTTTAATTTAATAAATAACTTGTGATATTGTGTGAATAGGGTGATTTTATTTTTAAGTCCATAATAATTTCATCAACTTATATTGACTTTATTTTTTCCAATCCAAAATTTTTATAAATAACTATTTAGTTTGTTTTACCCCAAAGAAATTTCTGGGAAACGGATTGTTGGGTTAGTCATTTTAGTGCATTATTGATCAAGTCAATGACTTGGATGGAAGGAACTAATATTATAGATATGAATGTTTTAAGTATGTCAATAACGTAAAATCTACATGACCAACTAAGCAGTTTTTTTCATGAGTAGAGCCAATGTTACCACAGGCTTAAAGGACATAGTCATATTTTATTTTATACTCTACTAGGGCTCTGCCCTGACAGTTTATTAAGTCCAATGTTGTTCTTCAAAGTAACCATAAAAAGCCTTTTGAAATGCCACTTAAAACCAGTACGGCAATCAATAGTTTTATTAACACTTATGAAGTCAAACGGGGCGAAGCCCTCGGGTAACAGCTAGTCTTACAATATTGAATACGGTACATTACTGATTATTACAATGTTTGGCTAACTTGCTTTTTTTATAGAGGGCCAGGCTTTAAGTAACCATGGGATTGCATTCATTTTGGCTAACTTGCTTGGTTCTCTTTTCCTAGCACTAGATATCCTAATTCCTTGAGTGATCTACCCTTTTACACTATTGTTATCATTTTGTCTAATACTTTTGACTGGAAGCTCTGTTATCGAAGTGTTGTTGAACATTGTTACTTATACAGTATGTTCTTTCCATGAAGATTCTTTAAGTGTTTTGTACTGTCTTTAAAGACCATATTTAATTGTAATATTTATCAGCTGACATTTTTTTTTTATGTGATGAGTTTTTGGAAATTGGTATTAAAACAGGGTTGATCTTATCTTGGTTTTATTTTATCTTCAAACAACTTATAATGGCGACGAGGATGAGGAAGAACGGTAGAAAACATCAGGAACTAGAGGAGGAACGCATAGTGATACCGAACAAACCAATGTTTTGTTCTAATTTTGATAAATTCGATGAAGACGATGAGACTTGGACATCCTACATGGTGAGAATAGATAATTTTTTTGACTTAAATGAAATCACATCAGAAGTAAAGAAAAAGCAGTATCTGATAAATTTGTTGACACCTAAAGTATTCCATGATCTAAGGATTAGCCTAAGCCCATCTAACACAGAAGATAAAAGTTACAATGAATTGTGTGAAACTTTACAAATATTACTTGAGCCTAAGGGTAGTATTATCGCAGAGCAACACAAGTTCAGTAAACGAGTCCAGAAACCTTGCGAATCTTTAGGTAGTTTTGCCAAAGACCTAAAAAACTTAGCCAGTAAATGTGATTTCAAATGTCCAAAATGTTTCTCTTCGACAACTGACGTCCACTTGCGGCAGCAGTTTATTTCGGGGCTTCATGATGAAAAGTTGTTGTCAAGATTAATGGAAATTCATGAAAATAAAAACTTTAACCAGTGTATTGAAATAGCTAGTAACTTTGAACAGATCAAAAGTGAAACAACAAAAATCCAAGAATCAAATTTGTAATCAAAAGTGGAAGAACAATTTCAGATTCAAGGAAGGAGGAACACTGCATATTCGCAAGGAAGAAAGGGTACTACAGCTTGTTTCAGGTGTGGAGGAAACCATCACGTTAGTATCTGTGAAATTCCTAAAGACATAAATTGTTGGAATTGCAACAGAAAGGGACATCTCAAAAAAGTTTGTTGGAGAAAGAAGCAAAACATGCTACAAACTGACGACGCTTCACTAGATAATGAATATGACGATGAGGGTGAGTGTCAAAATGTACCATTCATGTCTATGTTATCCATTGTAGATAGGCAGAAAAAAAGTAGTAAACTATCTAAACTGTGTGATAGTTTTTATCAACCAGAAGTTGTCAACAGGCCGAGGAAAATTATTTAGAATGCACCATTGATGACAAGCGTAACTATTTTGAGTTGGATACTGGCGCTGCGGTCAGTACAATACCTTTACATCTGTTTCGAAAATTATTTCCAGAAAAGATTCTAAATAGAACAAGAATACGGTTAGGGACATATACAGGAGAAATGATTCGCCCCGTAGGTTTTCCAACAGTCAAAATTTGTTATAAAGATCAGATTTCTGTGGGCAACCTATACGTTATTCGTGGAAATGTAGACAGTGTATTTGGAAGGGAATGGTTGAAACTATTCAACATTGAGCTTCAGAAAGAGAATGACCATAGAACTAAGAAGGATGGAAACATAGTGGGATACAAAGTCATTGACAGGAGGCCGGTGCCACGATAGGAAGGGATTTAATTACCCGGCGCTCGACCAGATATCCAAAGAGCCTGAGACTCAATTGGCCACCAAGAGACAGGCAAGAGCTGAAGCTAGAGTAGAGTACCAATTGCAATTGATTCAGGAGAAGGATCTTGTGGAGGTAGAGGGTGAAGAGGATACCAAACCTCTGAAGAAAGTTCAAGAACAACTAGGTGAAGAGGATACCAAACCTCTGCAGAAAACTCAAGAAGAACTAGAAGGTTTCCTACAACATAGTTATGGGTCTGTAGATATTCGGTTTAAGCGAGTCCTAGAAGAATGTAATGGACTGTTGGATGAGCTACGAGGACTCAAGTTAGAAATAATGATAGGGAGAGCTCAGGTTAATTTTAAGGGGGAAGTGTTGTACTGTCTTTACAACCAAACAATACCATAAAATACCATATTAAATACCATATTTAATTGTATTATTTATCAGCTGACTTTTTGTTTGTTTTTGTTTATGTGATGAGTTTTTGGAAATTGGTATTAAAACAGGGTTGATCTTATCTTGGTTGTATTTTATCTTCAAACAACTTATATGTTTCCACAAAGTTTTAAGTATTATTTTATTAAATATTATATTATATAGGTACTAAAAAACTTTTGCAAAACTTATGACAGCTAGCCTGACTATTCTACTGGGCCCAATTACACGCGATAGGTACCATATGAAAGATATTTCCCTGTAGATGTGCAAAATCCTTTTATAAATTAAAATAGGCTAAAAAATAAGCACAAAAATGAATTTTTAATTTTTAAAAATTAAATGGGCCTTATGGGTTGCTATTTTAGTGATGAAATAACAAGAAAATATAAACGGAAAATCAAAACAGATTAAAGAAATTCCAATCACATGTTTTATTTACAGTGTGGGTTGAAAATAGAGAAGTTTGCACAATACATACTTTTGGTCGAGTTATCGACCAAGGGGGCAGGCTTTTGTTAAATGTAATATGCTTAATATAATGTTTAAATGTTAAAAGTTAATGCTCAATATTATTAATCCATCCAAAATTGTAGCCCGTCAAATGTATTAAAATCTACACATTTAAAAGATAAGAAAAATCAATGTAATTGTAATATTGGTTACCATTTTGGACAGCGAACTCTGGTTTTCACAATTCTTCAAGTTTTTGTAAACACTTCAAAATGAGGTGGGGGCACTTCATTTGAAGGGGGTTTACTTAAAAAAAATTAAAGTTGCTTCCAAAAACCCCCATTTTGGGGGGACACCACTCAAAATTTTAAAATCATAAAATGAATCTCCGTGCTAAGATTGCATAACCACCAAATCTCTGTATATTTACTTATAATAATATTAGATGGGGAAGTCTTTACTTTTTATTCACCCTGTATTTTTAAGAAAATAAAACTTTTAAACGAGTATAAATACAATAAAAACATTGCAAATTTTGATGAAATAGGGATTTAAAATTAATAAAAATCATAATAAGTTTTCCTTTTCCTGAGAAATCTGACTTTTTTGTTTTCGGACCAAGTCAACGTGTCACATTGATAATAAATGGGATATAAACGTGGGCCTCCATGACAGGTGCCCTGGCTCTAAACACTAGATCATACAATAGAAGAATCCTGCCTAACCTTTGTTATATGTTAGACAAGGAAGTTTTCTCACCACACCATACTTGTCCAAGTCTATGTAGCCCATGTCAAGATAGCAAGGAGTTACTATCACATCCTCTATGATATTGTCCTCAACGTAATTCATATCTATGAGTTCACATCCAACGACCACAACAATCACGCACAAATGGTACCACCATTTATAAAAAATATTGGCCATCTTCAACTAACAAACAACCACTAAATGTGCCCCATACAGAAACTGTAACATAACTGTTGGCTTTATTGTATATAGTTTTGATAGTGTTACATAACTGATAAAGTTTCAAAGCTTTAAAAGTGCAATTACATTTCAAATAAATAATGTATTCCATTAATAAATAAAGCTCATCTTTAAATTAAATCAATTAAACTCGTATGCAATTCTAAGTAACAAAACTTGATCTAATTTACCTACACAGGTAAAGTTTTGTGTCTGAAACTCATTCCACAGTTTTAAACCAATTTTGAAAGTTTTAGACTTTGGATACTAAAATTAGACATTCCATTTACGTAAAGCAAATATACCATTGACTTTGGATACCTACTACATGGTAGATATTTAATTGATGAGAAAAAGATGAACCATTGACTTTGGATATTGCAATTAGGTTTTCCATTTATGTGAACCAAATATATATTATACTAGCTGTACCCGCGGGCTTAGTGAATGAGTCTGTGGTATTTGAGCTTTATATATATAGATTGACTGTAGATACTGCAAGTAGACATCTCTTTTATGTGAACCAGATACAACATTGAATTTAGATATTACAAGTAGACATCCCCTTGACCATTTGTAATCCATTTGTAATCAACGTGAACCAAATGCACCATTATTGATTTTAGATACTGTAAGTAGACATCTCATTTACATGAAACAAAGGCAGAATTGATTTTGGATACTACCTAACTGCAAATAGACATCCAAATTACGACAACCAGATGTACCATTGACTTTAAATACTAGTAGACATCCCAATTACGAGAACCAGATGTACCATTGACTTTAAATACTAGTAGACATCCCAATTACGAGAACCAGATGTACCATTGACTTTGACTTTAAATACTACTAGACATCCCAATTACGAGAACCAGATGTACCATTGACTTTAAATACTAGTAGACATCCCAATTACGAGAACCAGATGTACCATTGACTTTAAATACTAGTAGACATCCCAATTACGAGAACCAGATGTACCATTGACTTTAAATACTAGTAGACATCCCAATTACGAGAACCAGATGTACCATTGACTTTAAATACTAGTAGACATCCCAATTACGAGAACCAGATGTACCACTGACTTTAAATACTACTAGTAGACATCTCATTTTACGTGGACCAGATGTACCATTGACTTTTGATTTAGCAAGTAGAAATCCCATATTTACGTAAAACAGATGTAGCATTACTTTGGAAAAGTATATTATTAATATGCTTGCTTCGCTCAATATTGCAAGCAGACATTCTGCATTGTACTCCTATAGTAGTTAGTATAGTTGTTAGAGCATGGGTCCTCTCTGATGAAGTTAAAATCACACTAGCATTACTGTTATACATCTATGTGATCATTCTGCAGTTCTTGTTTTTGTAACCCACCATTAACAAAAACCTTAACAGTAGATTCAAAAATATTAGGCCTATATACCTATATATTATATTTTTATACGGGGTGATAATAAAGTCTTAGGACGAGTAACTTTAAAACGAAAAGAGATATCACAACCAAATTTGGCATATCATTACTAGTAATAGTAAGTTACTTTCTTGTGTATATGGTGATGGGATGTCACCTATGGGGGACGGCACAAAGGGAGTAAGTTATAAATCTTAAAGGGAAGCATAGGTTGATATGTACATCAAATTAAAGGTACTTTTGAACTAAAAAGCAATGCCAACAACAGGTTGTTATCAGATCCTAGACAGTAACAAAACCAAAGTTTGGACTGTTAAATAACAATAAACTTTGTACAAACCTGATGTATACACTAAATTAAATGAACACAATTTAGTAATTACCAAAGTAAATGGAATCTCTGCAGAACCGAAGGTCATGTCGGAAAGTGGTGTGATGGAAGCATCCAGCTCTTCCTGAAAGTGTACAAATGATGTTTTTACTGTTGAGTCTCTGTAACTATATTATCTGTGCTGGAATTATTGATTATAAAGTATAAGGTAATTTATCATAGGCTACTAAAATGTCATCTCAATATCACTATATAGCCAAATAGATTACAGAATAGGACTGGCCTTAGAAGAGGTAGGGGATGCCGTTGCCACGTCGTTCTTGGCTGGTGATCTGAGTTTCACCTATCTTCCCACTTGTAGGGTAGTCCAGTTCAACACTACAAATTAATAATTTATTTGCTCTTGGTGGTATCGGTTAGTATTGTTATATTATTATATATCGTATGGAACATAAAATTCATCCCATACATTATTATGGTTTGATTGTTTGCTACACAATTATCTTTAAAATGGCTCAAACAGCTCCTAGATGCAGTTTTTTGAAAAATAAAAATATATGATAAATAAATATCTACGGTATACTAATATATAAAAATGAGATGGTGTGTGTTTGTGTGTGTGTCTGTCTACAATGCAAGAACCACTGAACCGATTGAAATCAAATTTTGAATGAAGGTAGCTAATGTACCTGGTTAACATATAGTCCTATTCCTGTTATTATATTTCCCTTGGGCTACGCCCCATGGGCTTCCAAAGTTTCAATGTTTACATTTTGGAAGAATGTAAATAGTAAAAAGTATTAATTGAAGTCAGCTGTAAATACTATAATTTGACAGTTCAAACAGCAGAGGTTAAGAGGTACAGGTTCTGCTCCTAAGATTCTAAAGTTTTATGATTATGAGAATAGTTTGATTAAAATATTTATGAAAATATACTTATTTTCATGGAAACAGAAGGATCATTACAATGTATAATTTTTTTGGAATAATTTTGATATGGTAGCTTTTATATTTACAAATTTGAACTGATAAACAAATGTTTGGATCAGGACTTTAATAGATTTTAAAAACTAAGAGATATGTACTGGTACAGTTGTATAAATTTAACTGACTTAATTTTTACACTTTTATTTGTGTTTAAATTCAATTTAAAAACTAAATTGCAACTATACCTACTTTTATTCTGTCCAGAGGTAGCTACTACTTATATTTTCTTCTATCATCTACTTCACATTTGTTTTTTTTTTATTTACAGAAATCTCCTTAGTAGTTGTATCAAGACGCTTTATATAAACAACTTTAAATGTAATATGCTTAATATAATGTTTAAATGGACAAAACCTAAATACAACAACTAATAATTTTAATAATAATATAAATAATTGCTAATATTTTTAATTGCTTTTTGTCGGTGTTTACAACACTGCTTTAATTTGACTATGGAGAATATCACAAAACTAAGCTGCACGCAATTAACTTTTGTATCTAAAATCAATTAAAATCTGTAACGTAACTATGTTTTTTTACTCGATGTTTTAAATAATGATGTAAATTAATGCAAATACATACACGTATTGAACTATGGAACGAGTTAAAATCATTACTGTCATGTATTATGTTGTTGATTTATATTTAAATTGATGAAATTTGTGCCGTGATTGACAATAATAGTGGTTGGTTTTCTAAAAAAAGGTAATACAAGTTTTTAATTAGTTTATTTTTGCTTATTATTGTGATTAATACACACTGATCTGCAGGTAAAGATTGAGTTTTGAAAAAGCTCATTAGCTACGGTAAAACATATCAATCGTATGTGAAATCAATATAAACTTCTTTTTTTTTTTGCTTAGCTACAGTGCTTTATGTTATGCGATTATTTTTCCTTATTTACTTTATATGTACGATTATCAACGAAATAAATGTTTAAGTACCTAAGCTTATCATTTGAAAATTGAATCCTATGGGTACATTATTTCCATAAATGCATCAGCGCCTCATATAATTCGTACTAGGTAGCCTTATAATTTAGCCTAGCCTTGGTGGATAATTATAAATGTGAAAGTTTGTGTGTTTGTTTGTTTGTGTGTTTGAATTTCAATCACGCATAAACTACTGGACAGATTTGGCTGAAATTTGGCATGATGGTAGCTCACATTCCTGATCAGGCCCGGTCTGGCCAGGGCGGCTGGTCGGCGATCCCTGAGGGCCTTCGGCTCAAGGGGGCCTCCAAAAGCCAAAAAATCAATTCAAAAAAATTTTGTTATAATAAAAAAAATATTTTGTTTAACTGTTTCACAGCAACGTAGTCTTGCAAAAACAATTTTTAATAAACAATACCCTTTTTTTAATTGAATTACAGTTAGGGGTAGCCCCTAAGTACAGTGATAGTCACTCGGTACTAGAGGATAGTCACCGATCTCACTGCAACGCACCGTTCGAATCAGCTCAGTGCCCAGCGCTCCGCTGTAGTGACGAGACATTGCCGTGCCGGCGCGTCTGCGATATGTCTGGTGTCTGGACTCAAGCAGACAGCTTAGCGCTTGATGGGACAACCGACTGGAAAAAACTATCGACTAGTTAATTTGTCAAACGGTTGTTATTAAAACCAGTGGTTTTTTCAGTCAAATGAAAAACCGAGAGAATTCCACTACAACAACAACTGGTGGCGTTCAATCGGTGCAGTGGTTTCAGTCATTGCAAAGAAAATTATCGAATATAATTTTACTTTAAACATTGGAGTTTTCCCGCTTGACTCCTATTGTTTGTTGTCATTTGCATTAATATTTTGTTACTTTGGTATAAAACGTAATAGAATGACAACATTTACAATCAATTAAATTTTTTTGTTTATTACATGACTGCAAGATTTAAATTATTCAGTAGGCCTAATGTCTCTAACTCAGTATAACAAATATGCCTATTTATTTGTTACCTGGTTTTTAAAACAGATTTTACTACAGGCATTAAAATCTAAATCATCAGTATATAAAACACAGTGTCTTGGCAATTTTATATTTTTTTAAACAACAAAATAAATGCAATTACATTTTATGTATCATCCCTAAAAACTGTTCCCAATTCCTATCCGTCAGTTTATCTACAACTGATTTTATTCGACCAGTCAGCCTCATCTCAACACCAAGGTGGAGTATGGTGTTACGACTAGTTTAATCACCGACGACTATTTTCCAGTCATTCCTACGTAGTGGGTTTGTAACGGTCATA